ATAAGAGAACACGTGCTGGTGTATGAGTGAACACGTGCTGGTGTGATGAGTGAACACTGGCTGGTGTGATGAGAGAACACGTGCTAGTGTGATGAGAGAACACGTGCTGGTGTATGAGTGAACACGTGCTGGTGTATGAGAGAACGCGTGCTGGTGTATGAGTGAACACGGGCTGGTGTGATTAGTGTACACGTGCTGGTGTGATGAGTGAACACGTGCTGGTGTGATAAGAGAACGCGTGCTGGCGTGATTAGTGTACACGTGCTGATGTATGAGCGAACACGTGCTGGTGTGATAAGAGAACGCGTGCTGGTGTGATTAGTGTACACGAGCTGATGTATGAGCGAACACGTGCTGGTGTGATAAGAGAACGCGTGCTGGTGTGATTAGTGTACACGTGCTGATGTATGAGCGAACACGTGCTGGTGTGATAAGAGAACGCGTGCTGGTGTGATTAGTGTACACGTGCTGATGTATGAGCGAACACGTGCTGGTGTGATAAGAGAAGGCGTGCTGGTGTGATTAGTGTACACGTGCTGATGTATGAGTGAACACGTGCTGGTGTGATAAGAGAACGCGTGCTTGCGTGATTAGTGTACACGTGCTGGTGTATGCGTGAACACGTGCTGGTGTGATAAGAGAACGCGTGCTGGTGTGATTAGTGTACACGTGCTGATGTATGAGCGAACACGTGCTGGTGTGATAAGAGAACGCGTGCTGGTGTGATTAGTGTACACGTGCTGGTGTATGAGCGAACACGAGCTGGTGTGATAAGAGAACGCGTGCTGGTGTGATGAATGAACACGTGCTGGTGTGATAAGTGTACACGTGCTGGTATGATAAGTGTACACGTGCTGGTGTATGCGTGAACACGTGCTGGTGTATGAGTGAACACGTGCTGGTGTGATTAGTGTACACGTGCTGGTGTATGAGCGAACACGTGCTGGTGTGATAAGAGAACGCGCGCTGGTGTGATTAGTGTACACGTGCTGGTGTATGAGTGAACACGAGCTGGTGTGATAAGAGAACGCGTGCTGGTGAGATGAGTGAACACTGGCTGATGTGATGAGTGAACACGTTTTGATGTGATGAGTGAACACGTGTTGATGGGATGAGTGAACACTTGTTTATGTGATGAGTGAACACTTGTTTATGGGATGAGTGAACACGTGTTGATGGGATGAGTGAACACTTGTTTATGGGATGAGTGAACACTTGTTAATGGGATGAGTGAACACGTCCTGATGTGATCTGTGAACACGTGCTTGTGTGATCTGTGAAGACTTGCTGATGTGATCTGTGAAGACGTGCTGATGTGATGAGTTACCACGTGTTGATGGGATGATTTAACACTTGTTGATGGGATGAGTGAACACTGGCTGTTGCGATGAGTGATTACGTGCTGATGTGATAACTGAACACGTTCTGATGTGATGAGTGAACACGTTCTGATGTGATGAGTGAACACGTTCTGATGTGATGAGTGAACACGTTCTGATGTGATGAGTGAACACGTTCTGATGTGATGAGTGAACACGTGCTTGTGTGATGAGTGAACACGTGCTTGTGTGATCTGTGAACACGTGTTGATGGGATGAGTGAACACGTTCTGATGTGATGAGTGAACACGTTCTGATGTGATGAGTGAACACGTTCTGATGTGATGAGTGAACACGTTCTGATGTGATGAGTGAACACGTGTTGATGGGATGAGTGAACACGTTCTGATGTGATGAGTGAACACGTTCTGATGTGATGAGTGAACACGTTCTGATGTGATGAGTGAACACGTTCTGATGTGATGAGTGAACACGTGCTGATGTGATAACTGAACACGTTCTGATGTGATGAGTGAACACGTTCTGATGTGATGAGTGAACACGTTCTGATGTGATGAGTGAACACGTTCTGATGTGATGAGTGAACACGTTCTGATGTGATGAGTGAACACGTTCTGATGTGATGAGTGAACACGTGCTTGTGTGATGAGTGAACACGTGCTTGTGTGATCTGTGAACACGTGTTGATGGGATGAGTGAACACGTTCTGATGTGATGAGTGAACACGTTCTGATGTGATGAGTGAACACGTTCTGATGTGATGAGTGAACACGTTCTGATGTGATGAGTGAACACGTGTTGATGGGATGAGTGAACACGTTCTGATGTGATGAGTGAACACGTTCTGATGTGATGAGTGAACACGTTCTGATGTGATGAGTGAACACGTGCTTGTGTGATGAGTGAACACGTGTTGATGGGATGAGTGAACACGTTCTGATGTGATGAGTGAACACGTTCTGATGTGATGAGTGAACACGTTCTGATGTGATGAGTGAACACGTGCTTGTGTGATCTGTGAACACGTGTTGATGGGATGAGTGAACACGTTCTGATGTGATGAGTGAACACGTTCTGATGTGATGAGTGAACACGTTCTGATGTGATGAGTGAACACGTTCTGATGTGATGAGTGAACACGTGCTTGTGTGATGAGTGAACACGTGCTTGTGTGATCTGTGAACACGTGTTGATGGGATGAGTGAACACGTTCTGATGTGATGAGTGAACACGTTCTGATGTGATGAGTGAACACGTTCTGATGTGATGAGTGAACACGTTCTGATGTGATGAGTGAACACGTTCTGATGTGATGAGTGAACACGTGTTGATGGGATGAGTGAACACGTTCTGATGTGATGAGTGAACACGTTCTGATGTGATGAGTGAACACGTTCTGATGTGATGAGTGAACACGTTCTGATGTGATGAGTGAACACGTGCTTGTGTGATGAGTGAACACGTGCTTGTGTGATCTGTGAACACGTGTTGATGGGATGAGTGAACACGGGCTGGTGTGATCTGTGAACACGTGTTGATGGGATGAGTGAACACGTGCTTGTGTGATCTGTGAACACGTGTAGATGGGATGAGTGAACACGTGCTGGTGTGATGAGTGAACACGTGCTTGTGTGATGAGTGAACACGGTCTGATGTGATGAGTGAACACGTGCTGGTGTGATGAGTGAACACGTGCTGGTGTGATGAGTGAACACGTGCTGATGTGATGAGTGAACACGGTCTGATGTGATGAGTGAACACGTGCTGATGTCATGAGTGAACACGGGCTGGTGTGATGAGTGAACACGGGCTGATGTGATGAGTGAACACGGGCTGGTGTGATGAGTGAACACGTGCTGATGTGATGAGTGAACACGTGCTGATGTCATGAGTGAACACGGGCTGGTGTGATGAGTGAACACGGGCTGGTGTGATGAGTGAACACGGGCTGGTGTGATGAGTGAACACGTGCTGGTGTGATGAGTGAACACGTGCTAATGTGATGAGTGAACACGTGCTGATGTGATGAGTGAACACGGGCTGGTGTGATGAGTGAACACGTGCTGATGTGATGAGTGAACACGGGCTGATGTGATGAGTGAACACGTTCTGATGTGATGAGTGAACACGTACTGATGTCATGAGTGAACACGTACTGATGTCATGAGTGAACACGGGCTGGTGTGATGAGTGAACACGTGCTGATGTGATGAGTGAACACGTGCTGATGTCATGAGTGAACACGTGCTGGTGTGATGAGTGAACACGGGCTGGTGTGATGAGTGAACACGTGCTGGTGTGATGAGTGAACACGTGCTGATGTGATGAGTGAACACGTGCTGATGTCATGAGTGAACACGGTCTGATGTGATGAGTGAACACGTGCTGATGTCATGAGTGAACACGTACTGATGTCATGAGTGAACACGTGCTGATGTCATGAGTGAACACGGGCTGATGTGATGAGTGAACACGTACTGATGTCATGAGTGAACACGTACTGATGTCATGAGTGAACACGTGCTGATGTCATGAGTGAACACGGGCTGATGTCATGAGTGAACACGGGCTGGTGTGATGAGTGAACACGGGCTGATGTGATGAGTGAACACGTACTGATGTGATGAGTGAACACGTGCTGATGTGATGAGTGAACACGTGATGATGTCATGAGTGAACACGGTCTGATGTGATGAGTGAACACGTGCTGATGTCATGAGTGAACACGTACTGATGTCATGAGTGAACACGTGCTGATGTCATGAGTGAACACGGGCTGATGTGATGAGTGAACACGTACTGATGTCATGAGTGAACACGTACTGATGTCATGAGTGAACACGTGCTGATGTCATGAGTGAACACGGGCTGATGTCATGAGTGAACACGGGCTGGTGTGATGAGTGAACACGTACTGATGTGATGAGTGAACACGGGCTGATGGGATGAGTGAACACGTGCTGATGTGATGAGTGAACACGTGCTGATGTGATGAGTGAACACGTGCTGATGTGAGGAGTGAACACGTGCTGATGTGAGGAGTGAACACGTGCTGATGTGATGAGTGAACACGTGCTGATGTGAGGAGTGAACACGTGCTGATGTGATGAGTGAACACGGGCTGGTGTGATGAGTGAACACGGGCTGATGTGATGAGTGAACACGTGCTGATGTGATGAGTGAACACGGGCTGGTGTGATGAGTGAACACGGGCTGGTGTGATGAGTGAACACGTGCTGATGTGATGAGTGAACACGTTCTGACACGGCTTTGATTGTTCCGCCGGTGGAGCATCACCATTTGATAGTGATTCATACACACATGCTCACGGTATGGTCAGAATCATTCAATCGTCTTGGCTTTTGGCAGAGATTTCTCTTGAATATTGAAAGGGTTTTGTCGCTTCTATTCACGATATAAATCACTAGATTGTCTGGTCCAGACTCATTTGTGTTCGACGACAAAACATCTGTCAGTTCTATTTAAAAAACCTCAATATCACTTAAATACTAATTTCACTTACTCTTCAGAACAGGGACTTATTATAACCAGCCGCACCACGCGGCATGCTGCATACTGAAGTCCTCTACTGTTATAATATGAAACCTTTGTCACTACTATCCGTGAACAGTATATCACAGGGTACTTAATGCCATAACACCGGCAAGGAGAGCATGTCTGCTTTTGTATTACCCGAGGTCCCCGATCAGGTATAAAGCGTCGGTCATAAGGTCAAAATGGATGAGACAGGTGAGATTATGTTTTAGTAACTTTACAGACCTCCACTGGGCACATTGAAGTAGTTTAAGATTCTGCAATGTATATAGTCAACTTAAAGTATGTCATAACTGGGGTAGCATGTTATGCACATATATCTATCCTGGCTTGTAGAGGTCATGGAGGAGTGAAGGTCTAAGACACTGCCGGCGAGTCAAGTCGCCGCCTAACAGTACATTTGGCCATATTAAGATAACATTGAACTATATAGCCGTCAGATGATAATAATACACGCCCATTGAGAACTGTTAGATTTATTGTTACTAATACCTGTTCTGTGCTTCTTAAGATCCGTCTATTGCTTTTTTTTGTATATATGTGGACCATTCATGAGACGCTGTTCACAACAGGCCACACTTTCTGTGCGTGTTCTAAATATATATTTTGTACAGTCTGTCCGCCTCAGACAGGCCCAAACTACAGGCGGTTAACTTGTATGTCCCATCCCGTCTTTGACCCTCAGGGCGATGCTGGGCGCTTGTGTTGAAACATGATCGGGTGATTGTCAGCTGTGCAAGGGTACAAACTACTGCATGCTTTTTGAATTATCGGGAATGTACCCGTGGTTCCACGTGACTGGTTTATGACTGTAAAGTAAAATAATATGTTCCGACCCGTGTTTGAATTAATTACTAAAAACACCTCTGAGTTGTATCAAATGAGTAAGTCTTGTTTTATGCCGCTTTTAGCAATACTCAAGCAATAACCTAGGGATGTATAATTAGGTGTACAGTATAACCCTGTAACTGTTCTTAGAGCATGTGAGCGATATTGACGGGCAATACAATAATGTATTATGATTATGAGTGAGTGAGTGAATTTTGGTTTTACGCCGCTTTTAGCAATATTCCAGCAATATCACGGCGGGGGACACAAGAAATGGGTTTCACACATTGTACCCATGTCGGGGATCAAACCCGGGTCTTCGGCGTGACGAACGAACGCTTTAACCACTAGGCTACCCGACGCCCCTATGCTTATGCTAATTCAAGCAGTTGTTATATATGTTACAGTCAGTTACTGATATTTCCACTTACAGCACGACAAAATAATTCAGTCATTTTACAATTAGTTTTCCTTCGTTTGTGTTATGATAACGAATCCAAACAAGTTTATGTTCTAATCCATTACCACGTGACTGCAAATTATAGAATTAAAAGAAAATGAAAGTCAATGTATTTTAAAAAAAACCGAAATTTTGCTTCTAATACCAGCATAATATGTCTAATATGACGTTTTATGCCCTTTTGAACTTCTGAATAACCTTTAGTCAATCTGACTGAAAAATAAATTATAAATGACTGAAATATATTGAAGTTTTGTAAAATGCCCAAGAAAATATTTCAGTCATTTTACACTTTGACTGATTTTACATATTGACTGTAACATATATACAATCATGTATATGTAAAGGGATATGACTTGAATTCAGTATCATGTGGAAACGCTAAACATCTACTGATACTAACCTTCCTCTTGTACAATGTGTCCATTTGTTCATTGCAAAATCTAAAAGTTTTAAAATTTAAATATGTCTTCTTTACGATTACATCAATCATATAGTTGTTTGTATGTGTGATATGCTGGTATGCTGTTTGTTTATGAACCGACATATGTATATGTGTATTTGTGTATTTGCGCGTGTCTTGTACATTCGCATCATATTATTTGCAACCGTAGGTACACTTAATCTAAATATATATTATTTTTATGTACAGTTTACCCTTATTAATTGTTAAATGTCCTTTGTAGGGAGAGGTGATTAAATAGGCTTAACCTTTTCACAAATCCCATTCCTTTTTTGGAAATAAATATTGTTTAAATCATATATACATGTACATTCTTAGTGTGATAAATTTGGGGTGACCTTGCAAGTAGGTGTCGTGGGGAGTCACCATTCCTTATGTTAGTCTGGCTCTTTGAGAATTGAAGCAACTCGATCTGCTAGAGTGATTTGTAAGTTATTTTACCATAACATAATTGCCGAGCAGTTCATTGTTTGGAAATAATATCGCTAAGCTATTTTCAATTGAAAATCAAACATATGATAAAATCAGCTGAGTGCTATAATTTCTTTTATATTAAGTATGGCCTAAAATAAGTATGAACGAGGGGATGAAGGGTTTACGTCTGGCAAGATAAGATCCTCTCACATATGAATCTTGTTACCTCATGCTGCCCGGTTAGGGGTTTTTACATCGTATTTGCATTTATATAGAATATATTTGCATATAAGGTCTACAATCAAGTTCCATGTCTTAAGAAACGATTTCCCTGATCATATCGCTGCTAAAGAGATTGCAGGCTCTATCCGTTTACTTTCACACACCAACAACAATTGCACCATCGTCTATACTTCACGGGGGCGGTCGGGTAGCCTAGTGGTTAAAGCGTTCGCTCGTCACGCCGAAGACCCGGGTTCGATCCCCGACATGGGTACAATGTGTGAAGCCCATTTCTGGCGTCCCCAGCCGTGATATTGCTGGAATATTGCTAAAAGCGGCCTAAAACCATACTCACTCACTCACTCACGAGTTTGTGTACCCTACGATCCCCCATCACATGTGAACACAAACGACCGATCTGCAGTGTATGCGCTGTTATGACCAACGAATCAAGCCACGCCTCAGTTCTGGTCAGAGAGTATCCAACAATTGTACCGACCAATGAGAGCCAAGATAACATCGCACAATCGGCAATAGCTTTGGCGCTGCATGTGACATAGCCTTGCGACACTCTGATCTTACACATCGCTTCAATATAAGGCAAATGCGGGGCTGGCACAAAGTAGGGTTCATTTGATTTCCGCGAGTTATTAATGGCAATATTTCATCAGCTGACAAAAATACACGCGCGACACTACCGTACCCCAAATCGGATGTGTGTAATATCAAAGTTTGTAGTGCATACATGATCTCTGAAGTATTGACGACGAAAATTCACAAATTTTATCTTTATATCCAGACAAAGACATATCCCCTCATTACAAAATCCAACCTGTCGTACCACAAGATGGCGTTTCAAAGGGAGAGAACTCTGCGTACAAGCCGGGCTGCCTTCAGAAGTACACGTCCGCCCGGTGGGTACTTGCCTACCAAGTGTGCCTGGCCTACCTGTTCTACATGACGCTGCCGCACGCTATGGGCTTCGCTATCGTGTGCATGACAACACGTGATATTAGCTACAATTTCAACAGCTCTGACAGCTTCAATATGTCAAACATAACTAATAGTTCTTTAGATGTAAGTTACAACGTTTCTTTTGCGCTTGCCACTGGAAGTAGAATTGATTGAGTGAATGTTGGTTGTGCCGTTTCAGTAATGTTCCAGAAATTCAGAATCTTTACATAGATGTGACACCTCACTGCGTGAAGATCTGACACCTCCTTTTGAGATTGTGTCTGGCTCTAATCCCGGTACGATTAAACGTAGTAATCTGACCAGCATGTCTTACCCGTGAAGATCCGGGTTAGAATAGGTCATCGACAACCCATGCTTGTCGTAAGAGACAGGGGCGGTCGGGTAGCCTAGTGGTTAAAGCGTTCGCTCGTCACGCCGAAGACCCGGGTTCGATTCCCGACATGGGTACAATGTGTGAAGCCCATTTCTGGTGTCCCCCGCCGTGATATTGCTGGAATGTTTCTAAAAGCGGCGTAAAACCATACTCGCTCACTCACTCACTCACTCACCCACTCACTCACTCACTCACTCACTCACGTAAGAGACAACTAGCGGGATCGGGTGGTGAGAATGACTTGGATGATGCATGTAATCGTTTCCCAGCTGTGTAGATCGATGCTCTTGATGTCAATCACTGAATTGTCTGGTCCATATTCGATTATTTACAGACCGCCGTCATAGAGCTGGAATATTGCTGAGCGCGGCGTTAAACAACAACCAACTAAACATGGAATCGAACACGGGTCTTCGGTGTAAATAGAGAATGCTTTAACCCTATACAATTATACACGTGACTTTTGTAACAAAGGGACAACATCCAAGGCCTCAGATCAGTTAAGCTTCAAGTTTAAGGGTAGATATGCGGAGGGCATTTCCAAATTTGTCACAGTCGTGACCAGAATGATGTCCGATGCAATTGCCTATTTCAACTTGTACCATATGTTCCTATGTATTTTTCCTTTGATTTTCGCATTTGAATTTGTTTGTGGCAGGTTTGTGGCTCGTCTTTTCGCGAACACCTGGTATCATCACTATTTGATAGTGATTCATATACATGGAATCGGGCAATCAACTCTGCTTAGACAGCGATTTCATATGAATATGGAAAGGATTCTGCCTTGAGCTGGACAACAGATCCTTTAATTTAACACTAAATATTTGGCAATGTATCAAAAGGAGACGTCCATTTAATATAGTATATTCCGTTTTCTTGGATTGTTTTCAAACAAATCATAATTGTCTTAAATAAATATAATTTCTATTTGTCCGAAAATGAGTTAATCCCAATTTCGCAGTTTAAACGTGTCAAGTAGTGGTCAAATACAAAAGTGCAGTTTAATACATACTAACAATATATCCAATATGGGATCGCTGGACCTCGAGGATGTTTTAGTACTATACGATGCTGAATCACGATTAAATATGTACCTTTACTTGGGCTTTGTCGCTTTTATTGTCAGACATGTTCGCCCTCGATAACAACACATTCATTCTCTTTGTTATATTCACTATCTCCATCAGGTCTTGAATAGCAAATTAGCAACGTGTCTAGTTACTGAGTTGATATTTAATGTCGCATCAGCAATCTTTCAGATATATAGCGACTAGAGCAGCATGAGTACTTAATATCAAGTGTATAAACTATTCCGGTACCCACATAACACAAGTCAGATATAGTTGATGCATGTCATCGTATCCCAATTGCACGGATCGATGTGCATGACGTCAATCATTGGAACGTCTGGTCCAAACTCGATTATTTACAGACCGCCGTCATATAGCTGGAACATTGCTGAGAGCGGCGTTAAACAACAAACAAACAAACGAACAAACATTACACAGATGTGCGCTTACATTTCAGATGCCAGAGTTCCAGTGGGACAGTTCCATGCAAGGCTTAATTCTCGCCTCCAATTTCTTTTTGGCTACGTTGTCTCCCCCGATAGGTGGCGCTCTCTGTCACAGGTTCGGCGGCAAGATGGTTGTGCTGATAACGTACTTCATCTGCGCAGTCTGCAGCCTGTTGACACCCCTGGCGGCGAGAACACACCTCGTCTTCCTCATCACTGCAAAAATAGTGCAGGGATTCTGCGGGGTAAGATTTCGAAGGTTAATAATTTGACGTAAGAACGTTGGGATTTTCCTTAAATTGTCACAAAGTTGTGAATTTTATGATTATATCCATACAATCAAGGCCATCTATAAGCTTTATATCAGTTTTAAAATGTTTAATCAAGAATACGTCAAAATATGTTTCGAAGCGTAGTCGGCAGTTTGAAACTTGTGTCGTAAAGCTCGAGAAAGCTGCCTTGTGATTGGCTCATGTCGATTTCTTGTCAGTCATTTCATTGGTCGGTCAAAGTTCGCGAAAGGTCGTTCTGACGTGACCCGTTACGGGATGTCTTCAGATCTTTGTTTAGCGGTAGCGAAAATTAAGATCTGATTTTAATGAGATTGTGGAAATGTTAAAATTTAACGCAAAGTCCTCATATGTACTACCACCGGAATCAAAGAAAAGGACACAAATTTAACTGATTACAAATTGCAAATAAGAGGCATCCATCTGAAATAAGTCACCTGTTACTCATGCGTGGTCAGGCTCAATGATTTGGTTTATGATTGTCAGCAAACCTCGACGTTGTGTCATGCTGCTAATGATGTTGTTTATCTGGTATGGGCCGAGATTCTATTGACGACCTTAGCCATAAGATTGTCGCAAAGTTGTCGTAAAGAAATTATGGACTATCCTGGCATATTTCCGAAACTACGGTAGCCCCAAGATGTAACAATGTCGTAAATCTAAGATAGCTCCACACATATCGTGAGCTTATTTTATCTTCATTCAAGATGGCGGCAACCTTTGACAAAAATTATTTTTCAAACAATAATCTGTTTTACCATTTCATTTTGTTGAACGGTGGGATTCACGTTGACCCTTCAGTAGAGGCAAGTAATGTTCATCAGTGAGGAAGATAAGCCAATTTGGAACTCTTCTTAAAACAATAGGCTTTCACCAACCTCGAGTCGGAGCAGAAACCAAGTCAACAACAACGTCATCATATCTGGCCCTCGGGATGACGACGTCACAATGGCGTCGTTAAAAAACCCTTAGAGGCAGTTTATTCCATTCTGAGGGAGCTCGCCCAAGGTCAGAGGTCAAGAGGTGGTTTGGGACATCTGACGATGGCGTTATGTCTATACTACTCAAAAGAAGTCAAAGAACACCCGATTATTTCCTATTACTAGAGTTAATATGTCTTACCAAGAAAGGATCGTGTGTTCCTCAACTTCTTTCGAGTAGTATGTCACAAACACCTTTTCTTTCCATACAGAACATGATCTTCCCAGCAACAAATGACCTCTGGTCAAGATGGACCCCTGGTAGAGAAAAAGTACAACTGGTCTCCATCGGATTTTCAGGTACTGTATCCAAAGTCTATTCATTCTTTGTTTCATCGTCCGCCCGGAGAGCGGAAGGACCGGGGTTCGATACCAAAAGACGTTGAAAGATGGTACTTGTTGTTACCCTGGCTGGCGCTTGGCATTAAGGGGCTAAAACAAGGACTGGTCGGCTCGGAGTCAGTATACTGTGTCTGAGTGGGGTATTTATATTAAACTGCGGCATGGTATCTCAGTGAGCTACCACTATAAATCGGCATCAGTCCGGACTAGTACAAGCAGCCACACAAACACACACATACATGCACGTCGCTATATAAGTGCAATAATCTTGGACGCGACGTTAAAGCCCATTTCACCTCACCTCTTTGTTTCATCGCAAATGTGTGCCAGGCGTCATCTGAATATATGTCCCAAGTTTGCTGGTTATATATTGTACTCATCACTGATAATTAGGAAACAAACTGTTTTCGAGCTGGCTTACCTGGTCCTCTAACCGCGCTCAATTGAATTTGGAACCGAACGCGCAGCTGCTTATCTCTATTCTACCATTCCAAAATGAAGCAATTTGATGTTAGCGAAGCTATTAAGTAAATCACCATGGGATAAGTCCATTGTGAAAAATGGGATGTCGATCTGAAATCGGAAACAGATTATAATCAACGTATGAAACTCCATATGCTGAAACACTGTTTGGTTTACAATATTATATATATATATTGAGTGAGTGAGTGATTGAGTTTGTTGTTAAACGCCGCACTCAGCAATATTCCAGCTATAGGACGGCGGTCTGTAAATAATCGAGTTTGGACCAGACAATCCAGTGATTGACATCATACGCATCGATCCACGCCATTCGGATCGATGACATGCATCAACCAAGTCAGCGAGCCTGATAACCCGACCCCGTTAGTCGCCTCTTACGACAAGCATAGTCGCCTTTTACGGCAAGCATAGGTTGCTGAAGACCTATTATACCCCGGATCTTCACGGGTCTCGAGATCGTGGAAATAGACACATTGTTTACGACAATGTAGTTATAAAGGCTTGTGTTGTAAGTAGTAAGTGTACCTATTCTACCCCCGATCTTCACGGGTCAATTCTCCAAAGCATGTTGAGAACCAAACAATTAACATTGGTACGTTTTAGACTGTGAATCCCTTGATCTGACGGCAAATGTGTACAATGTTGTGGTCGTTGTTGTGCAGGTGGGACGTTATCCCAGATCGTGTTGTTCACGATGTCCGGCTACCTCTGTACCCTGTCCCTTGATAACGGCTGGCCATTCATCTTTTATGTAACAGGTAAGGTGTTCCGTCCTCATCAGGGAGCCTATGTCCTACGTAAAGTGAGTGCGTGAATGAGTATGGTTTTACGCCGCTTTTAGCAATATTCCAGCAATATCACGGCGGGGGACACCAGAAATGGGCTTCACACATTGTACCCATGTCGGGAATCGAACCCGGGTCTTTGGCGTGACGAGCGAACGCTTTAACCACTAGGCTACCCGACCGCCCCTCCTACGTAAAGAATATATATCCTGCTCGATCTGGGAACAAGGAGACACACGCGACACAGTCGTCTAAGGCTGTGTGTAGTGTTGTGTCCCTTATTCGTGCCAGGATTCGCATTTCGTGGAGGAAATGGAGATTTGGCAAATGCATCTGATCTCGTTGCTTTTGTCCAATTGAGTTTAAGTTCTTTGAGCCTGCACGAATATTCCTAAAATCAAACATCACACTAAGATAGACGAATAGGGAAATACAAGTATTAAATGTTCTTTCTGCTAATTTTCTTATTATGTTAGATCTGTACGTGGCATGTTGTGACTCATTCGTCACCGGGGCGGTCGGGTAGCCGAGTGGTTAAAGCGTTTGCTCGTCACGCGAAGACCCGGGTTCGATTCCTGACATAGGCGCAAAGTGTGAAGCCTATTTCTGGTGTCCCCCGCTGTGATTTTGCTGGAATATTGCTAAAAGCGGCGTAACTTCAAACTCGCTCACTCACTCATTCATTCGTGACCACTCGCCACTTTCCGTAACCTGCAAGACGGCTCGTCTCCCTATTAATCAATGTTACGCAAGAACACTCGACAACACAATCGGAAATCGCGTGTAATTATAAAAGATTTGATGTAAAGAATCCCTCATTACTGTCAATAGTCATGAATGGATGAGGTACCCGGTCTGAGGCACCGCAATTCACTGTGCAGAGTTGTGTCCCTTGGGCACGTCAGGAACCTTTGCTTGTGGGTTCCAATCCCGATTATAGTTCTAGGTTCTTCAGCACAATGCCAAAGTGATAAGCGTTTGAGATCTGCATCAAATGATACAACTGGAATTTTGTTAAAAGCGGCATTAAACCCAACTCACTCACTCACTATGAATGGTAGTGACTTCTGGTGAACGGTATACTCATTTCATTCAATTTGCTATGACAAGGTCATTGTTTCTTCTACCTGTAGGTGGCGCATGTGTGGTGTGGTGTGGCATGTGGTGTCTGACGGTATTTGATTCCCCGGATGTTCACCCGAGAATTTCATTTAAAGAGAGGCAGTACATCAACAACACCCGAGTGGGCGTGGTCAGACGTCACGTATGTAACACATATTATTAAAACTATTGGTGTGTATGTGTGCGTGCGTGCGTGCGTGCGTGCGTGCGTGCGTGCGTGCCTGTGAGTGTCTATCTCTCTGTGTGTGTGTGCGTGCGTGTGTGTGCGCGTGTGTTTGTTTTTAACCTAATACATTTTTATTCACTGTGCCTATCATGTCACGCGAATAAAATAATTTCTTTCTTTTCTTTCAATTGTTTATTGTTAAAAAATGATGTTTTTCGAACACCCAAAACGGACAATAACAAACTCGACCCCTTGGCAGGAGCTTATTGGAGAGTGGTGTGATGGACTAAGCTATCAATGGTAACAAATAATATATTGCATAGTTATAACGGATACTTATTGTTTCTTAAAAAAATTGACACACACGTAGTTCCCTCCCGTGTCTTTACCTCCCGAAAGTTGTTAGTTTACACATATAGATTTACACCTAAGATAGCGAACTACACGATATAGGGTGAACGTCAAGGTTACCATGGAGTTACTGGATGCTTTTTGCAGTTTGTTGTTCCAGGAATCCATCAATAGCAATCAGAAAACAGCTTTTACGATATTTGTTGCAAAAAAATACATTATTGCAGTGTTATTCATTCAAAATAGTTTCACAGTTTTAAATAATAACATATGTTTTTGAAGGTGTAACTGAAAGAATATCACGTCTCCATACAAAATCCTCTGTGTCAAAATCACGTTCATGGCGAGCTACACCCTCATGTCGTATAAGATACTGTGTTTGTGCCAAAGCTGGGCATCCACTGACAATGTGTTGGGCAGTCTCATTAAATTCATTACATAATCTACATTTCATATTTTCATTTTTATGCAAAATCATCACCATCACCATAATCATCGTTATTATTATTATTATTATTATTATCATCATTACCATCATAACATATGTTTTTGAAGGTGCATCTGAAAGTATATCACGTTGTATACGTGTGCGCGGACGTCGGAGAGGGAAACCTTTCCTTGTCAGCCGAGGGAATGCCAAGCAAAGCGCGTTTCTTAACATAGAGAAATTTACAACCAGATATGTACAATAATTGAGGTTGCAAAAATGACCATAAATACATGAGCAATATCTACAAGAACAGGATTCTCCGGCTTATGCGTGAAAATCCTTGTCACAAAAAAACATTTTCAACACATGAATAAGGTAGCAAACATGTATGAGATAACTTATTCCGGGTCGTACCATGGATGGACCTCTAGATCTGTGTCAAGACCACATTCATGGCGAAGACGGTAATAAAATGATCGAGCTACAGCATCATGTCGTTTAAGATACTGTGTTTGTGCCAAAGCTGGGCACCCATTGACAATGTGTTGTTGTTATTATTGTTATTATTATTATTATTGTAGGATGAGAAGATCCCATGGCGAGCGATAGCTACATCACCGCTTTGTTACACGATCATGGTGGTCATGTTCGCCCACCAATTTACAATGGTCACTTTCGTGGCCTTCACTCCAGCCTACATGAACCTGGCCCTCAAGTACAGCATCCCTGAGGTAGGTTTAAAATAAGGTACTCTGGCCCCTATTCCACCCAGACTCTCCATGGGGAGACATTAGTTAAGACAACAGAGACCTCTTCTGTGCAGGACTTCCCAAAGGGAGACAGATCGTACTGCAAAAGTGATCTAGTCTATGCCTGACTTCCCTATTGGGAGACGGATCATGAGATAACTAGGACCTAATCTGTGCCGGACTTCCAACAGGGAGACGGATCGTAAGATAATAGGAATCTAATCTTTGCTGGACTTCCCAAAGGGTGAATAATCATAAGATACAGGAAACCTAATCACCGGATCACAAGAAACCTGGGGCAGTGTTAAAGGAGAGCACTATAAGTACTCTTAATCTTAACAAAATATGATATATGTCTTAATTCCGTTTCTCAATTTCTAATGCAAACCCTTCTAGTTCATCCATTAATGTGAGCCTGTTTCTTCAGAGTGGTGTCATGTCGGCAGTGCCTTACATTGGTCGCTTCACAGCATCGTACTTCTGGGGTTTTTTGTCAGACAAGCTTCGAACCCGTCTGTCTACCACCAGTGTAAGGAAACTCGTTCAAGTTGTAGGTAGGTGTACAAGACCGCTTTTGGACAACAAAATTAACCATGTTACCACATATTCCGAAACAACAAATCTCTCAATACGTGTGGTAAAAAATAACTTTCTGGGTCATCTCCTACATGATCATGCGTTCAAATGTTATTGATGGTATATGTCCGCACGCAGAACGTGTCACGGGTTTATCCAAGCTGCCTGGTCACATTTTGTTCAAATTGTGCTCATTAAGTGGACAAAGTGCTGTTTAAAAGATACACTTACAACACAAGCCTTTATAACTACATTGTCGTAAACAATGTGTCCATGTCCACGATGTCGTATACATTACTGGTTCTGATGTATGCGAGCGTACACCATAAGCTAATTAAACTCATACTATCTTTCTTTATTCAAATAAAAAAATGTTTTTGTAACACACGCTCCTCCACGATAAGAAAGTGTATTATTTCTCCGTTCTGTTGTGATAAATATCTTTGGCCGGTTCCCCACCAGTTTCGTTATTAGACCAGTTCGAATAGGACGACTCTAAATATCCAACAACAAAGACTCTCAATCACTATCACCGAACGGATGTTACTTATTTGTAGGATTCGGTGTTGCTGGTGCTCTAACTGGTGGACTGGGTTACGTGACTGAAGACACGCGGGTGGTGGCAGTATGTCTGCTCACTGTCATCATGTTCTGCCACTCATCAACGCTATCATCCAATGCCCAGCTTCCACTAGACATAGCTCCACAGTAGGTTCCCGTTGACGCTTAGCCACTATTGAACGACACAATCGGGGGATACAGGTCTTAGCAGGACCGTTTCGTGCCTTTGATAAAAGTCACAGCCTTAATGACTACTTCTTGTCCCTTCACGAAGGTTACAGGGTAAAGTCGTGTCGCTTCTTGAAGGCTTAATGGCTACGTAATGTCATTCATGGAGGTAACAGGACCATGTCGTGTCTCCGCATGAAGGTTACAGGACGTCTTGTCCCCACATGAAGGTAACAGGAACATGTCGTGTCTCCGCATGAAGGTTACAGGACGTCTTGTCCCCACATGAAGGTTACAGGAACATGTCGTGTCTCCGCATGAAGGTTGCAGGACGTCTTGTCCCCACATGAAAGTTACAGGACGTCTTGTCCCCACATGAAGGTTACAGGAACATGTCGTGTCTCCGCATGAAGGTTGCAGGACGTCTTGTCCCCACATGAAAGTTACAGGACGTATTGTCCCCACATGAAGGTTACAGGACGTCTTGTTCCCGCATGAAGGCTACGGGACGTCTTGTTCCGCATGAAGGCTGCAGGACGTATTGTTCCCGCATAAAGGTCAAAAATACATATTTTACGGTCAAAGTCAAAATAAAAATAGATTATGTTCACTATCTGAAATGAAATTATTTTGAGTAGGCGTTAAAAATACGGTCAATTTTAATATAAGGTGATGTGAAATGATCGTATGAAATAGAAAGGGGACGTTTCAAATCTCAATCCTTATGGCAATATTAAATATGCTAGGCTGCTCTGTTGAAAAATCAAAGGCGCCGAATGTACACTTTTTGTGTTACATCATAATAGACAGACCTCATGGCGCTGTTCCAAATTACCTATCCCTTGGTAACATCGTTCTTTTATTACCTTCAAGCAGGATAAAATAGTTTCTTTGAACTTTAGTAATGTTCGAATATTATTCAAACCATTGTCGTCCGTGCTACAGCGGTCGCAAAATTGTCTGAGGCGTGCGCTGGTGCTTTTGAGTGCCTCCGAATTATGTCTGTTTCTGGTCAAAGGAATGGGTCAATTACAGTTCACCCAATAGGAATGAGCAATCCTTGAAAAATTCCACATTCTGCAGTCAAACAAAACGGCCGCTATATTGCTCTTTTTCCGCCATGTTTGGCCCACGGTGACGCCATATCACACCCAGGGCACATTATTCATGGCTTGCAGTTGCGGCAGTTTTCTAACTTAAGTGGTCGAAACAAAGATGCAACATTTACGAGAAGAAAACACCTCAACTCACAATAACCAGCGACACCGAACTTCGGCAGGCTTTGTTTACATTTCGTAACTCACAATTCACTTGTTGAATGTTGTGAGTCACGTGATTAATTAGAAGCAAATTAATATAAAAAATAATTTTTAAATTCTACTTATTGCTGCTTGGGCTATCATGGATTGCCGCACTCTGAATGGATAATGAAATATAAAATAATAACAAACTACACATTTTAGAAGTGTTGTGTTATGTTCAAAATGTAACAGTCCCTTAACAGAAGGGTGCTGACAATTACATGGAAGAGCCCGTTATTTCCCTCTGTTCGAGGATTTTCAATTTACGTCTCAGGTCATAATGGAATTGATTTTTAACGCAGCTCCAATAAAACATAAGGTCTTTAATTCGGCATCTTAGAAAAGAAATCAAGTTTGCTCTATCCCATGTGTTGTCATCTTCCCGAGTTAACTGACTAAAAAAAAGTCCAGTTTCCACCCTTGCCGAACTAGGCTGGTATTATGGAGTTACATTTTGGCTGGACTAACGAGTCTATGCATAGTCACATCAAAATCGCGCAAAGAAATCAAAATCAACAGATATTTTCTAAATCTTTTAATGTTTCTAGTCAAGGTGCTCACGTGATTTGATGCACTTTGCGATGTAAGACCCGTTTTATCACAATATAGATCTTGATTATAGATCAGCTAGCCTTGACTGGGCGCCGCCACTATGTTTGAAGCAAATGCAAGTGATACGAAAGGTTGTATCTGATTGGTCCATAGGAGAGGCATAGAAGGGACATAACTCGTAATAGCAACTGGTTCCAGTCTTGTTCGGCCAGTGTGGAAACTGGACTTTTATAGTCAGTTAACTCACTTGCCTCGGGAAGATGATGTGTAGTGTAATAAAGTATGGTTTTGCATTGAACTAATTTAACGTCAAAGCACTCGGACGCAAGCGTCCTGTACTTTAACTATAATAGTTCAGTGCAAAACTATACTTTATTACACTGCCCATGGAGTGAGAGCAAACTATATTTCTTAATTAGATATTCCGGAGACACATCAGCTCTACGTGCTTCAATCTTCTCCTATTTTTCAGGTTTGCATCGATTCTCACTGGGCTGATGTTTGGCGTGGGAAACCTTGGTGCCACCGTGTCTCCACTGATCACCGCTTACATCATCCGTGACGTAAGTATGGACACCTATGGGACAGGGGTGTCACACTATCACTAACGTGACCATTCATCTGAACCATTCGTATAGAAAAGTTGTCCTTTTGCCACGGCAAGGATCACTGGACAACGATGGTGGTGATCAGAACATATCTAAACCATACATCTGAGCCATTCATCGAAACCATTCGTATAGACAAGTTGTCCTTTTAGCCACGACAAAGATCGAATACAGAGGATCAGGCGTGACTTTCGACAACGGACATGCTTCAAATGATAGGTATAAGACAGAGAACATGTTCCCGCTAATGACGGAAGACAATAAACATGTTCCCTGTGACTGATAGAAGACAAAAAGGACGTGACCTACGTTAGTATAACATGTGGTAAATATTCTTTTCGGTGCAATATTACCCCTACACTTTGGCTACCTGTTGTCACGTCCATGTTGTTCTGGTGGGGAGCAAACGTGGTAGTGTTACAAAGGTGATTTCCAAATGGAACACACATTTTTAGTTTTACAATCACAAAAGGTAATACAGAGGGTCAAATAGTGTTTTAAGCTTGCAGGAATTTGGTGTTTTCAAATAGGTATCCAAGCGGAACATGTCGTTCTTAAACAGGATCATGTAGCCTTCTAGAAACAGTAACGTCCTGAAACTTCTCGAAAGATCAAGCCTGTGATGTTTGTAAACAATCAGGTTGGTAAGTCTGATCAATTCCTATTAATGATGGTAACCGATGACGTCACAATCATCTGCAAACCATTGTGATGTTATTCATTGTAGCGATATCTAGAAGGGGTATTGTTTTGATATCACCCAAGCGATATCCCCTGAGGAAGCCAGTTTGGGGTGATAATTGTTTTTCAAACTTGCCAGTTCATTCGAGGTAATTTCTTTTCAGAGGACCATGGAACAATGGCGGACGCTTTTCTACCTCAATATGGGCGTATTTCTAGCTTCCGGTGTTGCATTTCTTCTGTTTGCAAGTGGAGATATACAGCCATGGGCAGATAACACTGTTCACGAAGAAAGGGAGTTGAAAGAAAAGCAGCCATTGAAAACAGGGGACGATAATGTCATTGAGGCGAACAAGGGAGATATGTGACAAATACTGTGGAAATATTCCGCCTGTCGATCATCTTACGACGTCTTCCAACATACGTGAAGGTCTCCCAAGGCAAATTTAGTATTTGTTGCCTATGTTTTGTGAAATACAAGGTATGCGAACCTGTTGCCATCGATCTTCCATAGCAACCTATGTAAACGTGTGACACCTGTTTACCGTAGATCAAAAATACCACAAACTGAGTCAATGCTCTTTGATAATGAAAATTTAAGTGTAGTGTTATGAGAGAGTGCGTGAGTGAGTGAGTGAGTGAGTTTGTTTTTGCGCCGCTTTGAAAATCATTATGTCAGTTATTTCACGGCGCTTCAGCTCGACGAGGAAAGAAATTTCGAAGTGATGTATATCTTTTACCACTTTGAAACAAATGAACACGGGTATTTTGTTCAGATATGTAAATACACAAGCAGGGAAAACTTGTTTTCTGGCAAGCGGACAGGAAGCAATTGTATTGAGTTTGTACATTTAATTTTCAAATGTTTGTATAGACACCTATTTGTACCAGATGCCATGGTGATACTCCACGTTGTCCAGCTCCACATATTAAAGTTTGAAGCTTCTTCTCAGCATTGCCGTTTGCATTTAAAGCACATAATATTCATATATCCAAGTAAGGATAAGATACATGGATAAACTTCTGTATTACAATAAGGAGCGATGTTTCGGTGTTGTTCATCCATATCCTTACTTAGTATTTAGTACTCAAACTTCTAAATGCCTCTTAAAAAGGTTACATTTATCCAGTGGTGCTAGCTCGTAAACCTTAACTTACCTGCATGTTATCATTCGTGACCATTCACGTAATTCTTGGACGCACCGACTGTTTACGAAATGGGCGGGCGGTGACAAATAGTATATCTTACTTCTGAAGCATGTAATCTGTCAAGGACCGTATCCAACAACCGACCAGTTTAAACAAAGCATGTTGTTATTTCAAACATTCATGTGATCAATTAAAATGTTATAATATTCCTGGAGGAAATATCAGTTTTCACACAAGAGTGAGTGGATAGGATAGGATAAGTTTTATTCCATACTGAAAGGCCTCAGGCCCATAGTACAATTCTGTTTTCCGAAGAGTGAGTGAGTGAGTTGGGTTTAGCGCCGCTTTTAACAGTATTCCAGTTATATCGCGGCGTGTCAGCTTAATGTGGGAGGAAAGCTCGAAGTGATGCAGGTCTAAGGCGTTTACCACTTCGGTAAAACCCACGAGCACGGGTATAGTGCTGACAAACCTAGAAACATAATCTTAATGTCTAGCGCCAGACAGGGTAACAACAAGTATAATCTTTCAACGTCTTTTGGTATGGCGCGGCCAGGGGATAGAACCATCGATCTTCCGCTCTTCGGGCAGACGCTCTATCCACAAGACCACGTAGGCGGTCCAAAAATATGTGATCCAACTTATAAGGACAATACACGTGAGGTTAATTTTTAATATTGATGTAAATGGACTGAATCACTATTGTTTGACTTATTTTACAAAAACAAATTTAACGCTGCTTGTTTACAGTATTCCAGTTATATCGGGGCGTGTCAGCTTAATGTGGGAGAAAAGCCCGAAGTCATGCAGGTCTCAGACGTTTACCAGTTCGGTGAAACCCGCGAGCCCGGGTATGGTGCTGACAAACCAGAAGTGAGTGAGTGAGTGAGTATGTTTTTACGCCGCAATATCACGGCGGGGGACACCAGAAATGGGCTTCACATATTGTACCCATATCAGGAATCGAACCCGGGTCTTCGGCGTGACGAGCGAACGCTTTAACCACTAGGCTACCCGACCGCCCCCGCACAAACCTAGAAATATAATCGGGGCGAACCGGGATTCGAACCCACAATCATAGGTTTCTAGCTTGTGTGCCAAAGGGACGCAACCCAGCACAGCGAATCGCGGCGCCTTAGACGACTGGGGCACCCGTGCCCCCTTTCATCTTTCACTCTAAGCAGGCAATAAATATACATGCAGTATACATTGTAGCTGCCGTCGTTCCGTGGCACATCGACCTCTCTCTGTACGCAAATCTAAACTTCTTCTTTTTTTCCAACGTTTTTATTGTTCCCAGAGTTGTAGATTAATACAGTATTCCGTCAAAGACATATTTCGGATTGCATAGAATGGCACATTATACACGCTTTAGAAAATTAAAGGGTTGGAAACAAACATTGTCCTATTTCAAACCAAAACGGCTGCAACACACAGTCAGACTCAAACATATCATGTATCAACAGAGAGCTATGAATCAAATGCTGAGAATAAAGGTGACCATTGTTTTGTTAAAGTTACTTTTGTCATCCTTTTTTATAGCAATAAATTTCTCGATTGAATATATGTTTTTAAGAATTTTATAAGTATATCTAATTTCGGTTTGGTTCCTTTAATTCCACTTACATGAATATGCCTTTTTCCCAATAAAACTATATGATTGATTAAAGTATTAGCGTAGTTAGAACCAAACCAAATAAGATATTTTGTCAATTTAAGTTTTTGTGAAAGATAATTGTTAAGCCAAAGTTCGAAATCATTCCAAAATTGTTTAGTTTCATGACATTCCCAAAAGACATGGCTGACGTCCTCATTGACAGCATTACAAAAGCTACAAACACTGTTGTCCACAAGATTCATTGTTAATAGTTCCTTCTTTGTGTAGATAATTCCATGTAGAAATCTGTACTGAAAATCTAAAAGTTTTACATCCTTCAGTTTATATCTATAAACAGTAAATATCGTTTTCCAATTAAAATCACAGTGAAAAATTGATTGCCATTTATCACAAACTTTAAGATTATTTTCATTTGATATTAATTTATCATAAAAGATTCTGGTATATTGAAGATTACATATCTATAGTCTAATATTGTACCTTTTATCGGATATTTCAGTTTCAGTTCTCCAAATGACATCAGTCCGTTTTCATTGCATATATCTTTAATTGAGTAAATTCCACTATTAGCCCATTGCTTTATGTAGTATGTTGCTTGTTTGAAGTTTTGGTTGAGCCATAATGGTTGGGACAAAATATCCTCTATATTATCAATGTTAATAATATTCTTTTTACAAACGTTGTTCCAAGCTTTCAATACATCTTTCCAGTATGGGTTTTTAACAAAAGATTGCTTGTCAACATTAGCACCCAAAGATAGTATATCTTTAATTGGGATATTACAAGGGTTACTATATGTTGTTTTTTTACAATATAATCTGAGTGAAGAGAGTTTTAGTGCGTCAATAAAGGCTCTAATGTTAATCATGCGTAATCCACCTTCCTCATATTTTCTTGTCAAAGTGCTCCTTTTGATTTTGTCTTTTTTATTATTCCAGATAAAATTTTAAAATATTTTGTCAAGTGACAAAACAAAGTCCTCAGGAGGGTTAGGTAGTGTCGAAAATATATGAATTAATTTTGACAATGCTAAAGTTTTTATGACTGTAATTTTTCCTATTATCGTCAGATTTCTTTTTCTCCAATTTGCAAGCAATCTATTTATTTCTTCTAGCTTTCTTTTTGTATTGATTACCCAGAGTTCACTTAAGTTTGGATTAAACGTAATTCCTAACACTTCAAATTCCTTATTGTGCCATTCTATTTGTAAGTCTTGACATAAACGATCATTGCTACCCGCTTATGAGCCTATCCATATTGCTTTTGTCTTGTCTACATTAATTTTTAAGCCAGACATTTTGTAGAATTTATTTAGTGTTTCTATCGCTGCATATAAGCTTTCATCTTTGCCATTTAGAAATAATTCAGTATCATCAGCATTTGCCCAAGTTTGTATCCTTTGTCATTGACTGTAATCCCTTCAATTTTATTATTATTTCTAATCATACATCCTAGGATTTCAGCTACTAGGAGAAAAATATATGGCGACAAAGGGTCCCCTTGTCGACAGCCTCTTTCATTTGTAAAAAATTCAGAAATATGCCCATTTTGTATTATGCTTGATGTCTTAGCGTAAGTTAGTATATTTATCCACCTTATCATTTCAGGTCCAAATCCATATTTTTGTAAAACTTTATTTATAAATTGTTTTGATACCGTATCAAATGCCTTTTCAAAATCGATCAGCAGAAGTACTCCTGGTTTATTTTGTCTTTTTGATTCAAAGATAATATCATATAACAACCTTGTGTTTTCTGAAATAGATCTTCCTGGAATAAATCCTGTTTGATTATTATGAATGAGCAATTCCAATGTTGATTTTATGCGGATTGCAATACAAGTACTTATTATATTATAGAGTACATTCAATAAAGTTATTGGTCTCCAGTTTTTTATCAATGTTCTGTCTTTGTTTGATTTTGGTATACAAGTTATAACTCCTCTTTTCATTGTCATACTCATTTTGTTATTAGCAGAAGTACTTTTTACAAATCTGTATATCCAGAATTTAAGTTCTTTCCAGAAAAACTTAAAAAATTCAATAGGAAAGCCATCAATACCGGGACTTTTATTGTTTTTCATGTTTTTAACTGCCAATGAAATTTCTTTAAGCTCAATTTCTCTTTCCAATAAGATTTTCATTTGGTTGTCTAATGTTGGAGTATCTAAATTTGTTAAATTTTCGTAGCTTCTGTCCTTGCTATCAGAAGTATATAATTTTTTATAAAAGTTTCTTAATTCATCCAATATACAATTGCCGTCTGTTATTACCGTATCATCTTCAGTCATAACTTTATTCATTAATTTACTGACATAATTTCTATTTTCTAAGTGGCAGAAATAACTTGTTGGTTTTTCTCCTCCCTCATACCATTGCATTCTATTTCTAATTTGTATTCCTCTTATTTCCTCTTCTTCTATATGTTCCATTTCTAATTTGCATTTTGATAATTCGGATAGGTGTCTTTCATCTATTTGTTGAAAATTTCGCCTTATGTCATCTTCTAAATCGCTTATCTTACTTTCTAATTCTTTTGTTTGATTGATTTTGGTTCTTTTAATGAATAAAGAAAATGAAATTGTTTTCCCTCTAACTTTCATTAAGAGGGTTTCAAGAATTAAACTGTCATCTATTTTAAGTTTGATGTCTAACTCACTTTGTTCACTTTGTTCACTATCACTATTCTCAGAATATTCTTTTTTAGTTTCTTCTATAATTGTTTTAACTAAATCTGTATAATCTTTATTTAATAGAAGTGAAGTATTTAATTACCAATATCCGCGTCCTCTTTCTTGATTAATTGTATTGGAGAAAGATAACGTTATGACTGAGTGGTCGCTTTTATATCCGGGTAAAATATTTGTTTCCAATGTCATATTTCTTATATCTTCAGACACTTAAAAGAAGTCTAGCCTAGCTTGTTGTCTTGGGTTTTTCTTCCACCATGTAAACTTCTTTAAGTCTTTATTTAGTTCTCTTCATATATCTATCATATTTAACGATTCTTTTTTTTCCAATACTATCCGTCTTGCTTTAGGGTTATTTATATTTTTATAATTTTCTAAATCAACTGCCGGACTAATCTAAACTTACCGTAGTGGCCTCTGCAGAGCTGATTGATCTATATTTAGAGATTTCGTTCAATTTTGCTATTTAGGTACAATGTATTTTTGGACTCAACTAAATAGGTTTTCTTACTATAGCAACTTAACCGTGGCATCTGATTGGTCAACACGCTATTTAGATATATTTTTGGACACAATACACCAACACATGGGTATTTTAATTACCATGGCATTGAAATGAATGCGTCGTTCAAATGTTTATTGCATATAGTTTCTGGCTCGAACAGTCCGATTGGTCAAAATGTAGATGTTATCCGAGTTCTTTCCACGTAAAATATATGAGTCATTTGATCGGTTGAAATTAAGATAATTGACCCTATTTAAGTTTATTCTCAGATGCTTATAAGCGTTCTTTATGAAACTAGGTGTGGATGATCAACACATGGTCCAAGTACGTACTATTCGAAGATACGGGGTAGAATAGGTCTTCAGCAACCATGCTTGCCGTAAAAGGCGGCTATGTTTGTCGTCAGAGGCGACTAACGGGTTGGGTGGTCAGGCTTGCTAACTTGGTTGATGCATGTCATCGTGTCCCCATTGAGTGGATCGATGCTGTTGATGTCAATCACTGGATTGTCTGGTCCAGACTCGATT